TTCTCTATCTCATGGAATAAATAAACTTTAATTAACAAAAAAAAAAAGGATAAAAGCCACAAGACAAAATGAATTTAAGACCCAAATGCAGGGGCCAGCAGGTAGCATAGTAGTTAGGGCACTGGACTCCCACATGGCCAACAGCAGTAAAAGTATCCCAGACTGGCAGCTTGCTTTCTCATTTTCCCTCTCTCCCCTGCTCTATCTCTGGTGAACACATGTGCCTTATAGCAAATTTTTAAAAATAATAATAATAGGGACCAGCAGTTAGCGTAATGGCTATGTCACTGGACTCTCATGTAGTCGACCACAGTTCGAGTCCCGGATCCAGCAGCTTAAACTCAACGCTGGGTGCGTGTGCGTGCGTGCCCAGGATCCCGAGAGGAGGATGGAGGAGACGGGATTGTGGTGTGGCCATTCCCCCTGAGGGGTGATTTCTTCCTTTCTGTCTCTCTGTCTTTCTGGCGAGCACACACACCATATAGCAAAAATCTCTCCAAATAATTAATTAATTAAACAAATCATTATTTTTTTAAAAAAGACCCAAATGATAGTGCCCTAGGAGAAAGATCACTGAGAACTAAATCTGCACCCAAGTATGAGAAGCCTGCAGGTGCAAATACGAGTTCATATTGACATTGGAGCTGATGGCAGAGCAACAGGAGAAGCAGATGTAGAGTTTGGGACACATGAAGATGCAGCAGCTGCCATGTCTAAAGATAAAAATAATTTGCAACATCAATACATTGAACTCTTCTTAAATTCTACTCCTGGAGGAGGCTCTGGAATGGGAGGCTCTGGAATGGGAGGCTATGGCAGAGATGGAATGGATAATCAGGGAGGTTATGGATCTTTGGAAGAATGGGAATGGGGAACAATTACAGGGGAGGACATGGTACTCCCGATGGCTTGGGTGGTTATGGCCGTGGTGGTGGAGGCAGTGGAGGTTCCTGTGGTCAAGGTGGCACGAGTGGAGGTGGGTGGCGTGGGATGTACTGAAAGCATAAATACCAACATACGTGTCCCAACAACAGCATCTGGTCGACTAGACTTTCTTACAGATTTAATTTCTTTTGTATTTTAAGAACTTTATAATGACTGAAGGAATGGGTTTTCAAAATATTATTTGGTGAAGCAACAGATCGTGGTGGGAAGATCTGTTTTCTGTAGGTTCTATTTGTTGCATACTTTGACTTACAATAAATTTTTATATTCGAACCACTGATGTTGATACTTTCATATACTAGCTAACTGCTAAAGGTGTGCTGCCTTCGTAAGATTTGGGTTGCTGTGTTTAACTTTAGCTCTACAAGAAGCAGCATAGTGTGGTTTTAGAGGACAGTACTTCACCTCGGCATAAACTGCACGTCTTAATAAACAGGCAGCTGGAATAGAACTTGAAAATAATTAGTGTGACTTTTTTCTTTAATTTTTGCTGGACAACACTGTAAATATAAAGCCTAAAGGTGAGTTTAGGTGGCTTCAGGAGTATAAATTCACCTAATTCTTGGG